TACGCGACTCGGAGCCCGCACCGCGTCTTTTGTAGTACCTTTCTTTGTTGCTTTTTTTTTGTTAAATACAGCGCAATGTTAAACCGTTTGTGTGTTCTTTCGTGATTCCTCCGACGCAGTCGCCTGTTCCTCTCGTGTCGCGCGAAGGAAGGTCGCGCGTCGACACACGAACCCCGCCGCTCTATCAAGTCAGATATTTTTTTTGTTGAGAGCTGCCGGCAAGCTCGGCCGTCGCCGCAACGGCGGAGACGAAGTTTTGACCGTATTCTCGCGTATAACTAACGAAGAACGGTCACACCGTAATAACCTTCTAGCTCTTACGGAAAAACAACATATTGATTGGCTGTCGCGCGAACTTCTGCCGCGCGGCAAGCATTACCGCGTCCTGTGTGCAGGAGTCATAACAAACGGAAAACATGACGCCATTTTTAGAATCTCTAAAGAATTAATGTGCACTAAGTGTGAAAGTGTAAAAAATTCAATTAATGTGAATAAACTTATTGGATATTAGCTATTTTCAGACAATTCACACTTTCAAAGGATGTCCTAAGAATATTCTGATGACGTCCCTCCGTCCTGAAAACGTCTTCAGAATGTATTTTTGAAAATTTGTATTGTTTGGAGTGCACTAGTGTGCAACGGGCATTAGGTGTAAAAATGTGAAAAGTACAAGCAACTCGAACAAACCTAATGTTGGAATCCAGAACGTACACGAAATTATTGAGGCAGCCTTTAAATCCTATACACCTCCCTTTAAAGCTATAATCAAATTTCTGAAAAAGTTCCGGCCTAACCGCCGTCACGACAAGACGTGTTCGAATGTGTTCGGACCTTGTGATTTTTTTGGATCGTGTCTTGGAAATTTCCAAAACTTTACTCTCAAATTATATCATTAATCGGAAACTGGCGTAGGGGCATTACTCTTATAGAGGCCTGTAGCCATATATTGAAGGAAGGAAGGAAGGAAGGAAATTTCTGAAAAACACCAATCAGAGCATATAATCAGCTTCCATATTGCGAGCTACACACATTTACTTTCAAGGTTATAGAGAACCCTTTAAATCACTAATCACTGAAAATGATGAAAGGTCCCGTTTGATGGACTGTATATTAATTCGGAGAGAAAGGAACTTTTTTGACAGATGTGCGCGCGTATATATAATAAATATGTATAACCGTAATATTGGTAATTATTCAGTTTAGCTGCCTCACCTCCGATTTCGATGAATGTAGGCTCATTCGAAAGATATTTGCATGAGTAACAACTTTTTCCTTTAAGAAAATCGGGGCTCTGCCCCGCGAAGCGAGATATTAATCGATAAAGTTGACGCGTTAGGTTAGGAAATTTGTTATACCATCTATCTC